AATGAAATCATAACTGATTTTGATTGGTTGTCAAAGGAGGATAATCTTTATGAACTCTTTTCCTTCTTCGTCCTGATTTGAACCTCGCGAATTGTGGACCTCAATTTTATCGTAAACAATTGTTCAATAGCCAGCTTGAATTAATTTTCCATGTAAACTGATCTTGAAGTCGTGCATCACTGAATTAGGCTTATTTTTTAAGTATTTTACACACTGTCTTCGAGCAAGCAAGTAGAGTCTTTTAGAGCAGTTGGTATTGCTGTTGTACGCTACTACAGGTTGATAACTTCTAATTTGCATGTATATGGGTCTCAGCTCAGTGAGGAATCTCTGCCTTGTGTACTATAATGACATATATTGTGTAAACGAACATTAGATCCCATTTTCGTGGTTGAATGGTTGGTAGCTTACGCACAATACAACGATATAAAATCTTAATCTTGATGACTACTATAATCAAGACTGTAATTCACATTGCAGTATTACGTAAGACGCGATAGTCAATGGATTGATGAACTCTGATAAAAATCGTTCAGTCAGCATTCAGTATTTGAAGACATTTCCCTTCTTCGCAGATTATCAGTAAGATAAGATATCTTCAGGGCAATAGTGATCAACTTACCAAAATTGCTTCCTAAAATATCTGAAGGACTTTTGGCACGAGTTTCACGCTCTCTTATTTCCTTTTTTGTTACAAGTATTTGAAGTTTTACAAAAGCGAGTGTTGGTAAGGTAAAAGTCCTTTTTTTTTGGAAGTATTTCAAGTTTTACAAAAGCAGGTGTTAGTAATGTAAAAGTCCTTTGTGCTGTTTTTAAACTCTCGACAAACACTACTTTTCCAATGCCAGCTGCTTACTCTTACAAGTTTTAAGAGGCATAATTATATTTATATCATCAGCTATATTTGTCAATATCGGAAAACTATAATCAACCCCTGGTCACGTAAGATAGTTCAGCCATAGAAAAGGACGCAAAATTATCGTTTGTTTGTTGATTCGTCTCACTGTTAACAAGCCACATACAAAAAAGTTTTTCGGGGCATCTTTTATCTTTCCACAGCATGGAAAGTGCACTCTTTGTCGTTTGATAGATAAATCACCATTTACGTGATGAGAGTCTGGGAAGTTTACCATAACAATGATCTTTCAATCAATTTTCTGCTTAAGAGGCAACGTTATAAAAAAAAATAACTTGGCTTCTTAATCAGCTTTTTCTTCTGGGTTGCACAGTACTGACAATACGAAGCTGTTACTTTCTTAAAGGCCGATAGTTTCTAAAGAAACTGATTGGGGCTGCGTCGGTGGGGGTAACGAAATAACTTGAATATATCAACAAAGTTGAAATGGTAAATTAGCCACCGTTATATTACGATTATAAAAGCTGACGTTTCGAGCGTTCGCCCTTGTCATCACTAACTGATTAATTTCTTAATCAGTTAGTGATGACAAGGGAAAGAATACATAGATAAGAAGAACTTATAACATAGAGCTGAAATTTTCTACTTTTTCCCCCCAGTGGTGATTTAAACATTTTAGTCAGTGCATTTGTAACAACATAATTTGACGGTTTTATCAACTCCGGTAATAATGTAAACTGGCCACCGCAAAGGGTTCTTCAAGCTGACGTTTTGAGCGTAAGCATCGGGTGTATCTGTTATTTGTTTTTAATGTTAAATCTCACTAAGTAAGAGTATATATGAACAGCTTTCTTTTCCCCTTTGATCCATCATTTATTACTAATGCCTTAAAAGGGCCGTTTTGAATGACTCAGAGGTCAAAGTGTCTTTAAATAACGACAATATTTTCAGTTGACACACCAAGAGGTTGAAAGAAAGACTGGAGATCTTAAGAAGACCACGAGCATAATACGCATTCGTCCGATGAACTTAAGCAAAAAATGTTTCGAAACTCTTAACTACAATTTTAAATTTTTATTAAATTGCAGATCGACGGACACTCACCTTTTTCAAAAAAGAAGGGCGAAAACTATTAGCACCCACTTGATTGATCAAGGCGATCCACCACTGCGGGAGAAAACGGATCTGACCACCAATGTAGCTAATAAACTTTTTTCAGAAATTAAATCTTCCAGAAATTTGTAAGTTCAATAATTAAGCCGGTTGACATTAGAGTTACCAAATGAATAAACCAGGCTTTTTTCATTTAAAAAAAGTTAACGAAAAGATGAATAATCGGTAATTATTGATGCTGGAACAAGTTTCGGTAGACAATAGATCTTCCGTATAGTACACATCTAATCGTCTGCGAGAACAACTTCAATGTTTGCCTTTGATTAAAGGTAAGGAAAAGCGAATAAATCTTTGAAATAAATCTTCTCACGACGTCAATGAAATCACCGAAACTGAGTTCATATGTTGTCAGCATAGCATTACCTCGATGTTCATGTCCAGTTTTGAAACTGTCACCGTGTGAAACTCATCAGTGTTTGCGCTAAGTTTTGTGTGATGGTACTATGATCGTAAATTAAAATATATTTTTTATATCAAAATTGGTTTTAACATTCTATCCTAGCTGGCCCTGCCGATTCTAACTTACTGTACATCTGCCTTCGGGAAAGAACTATGGAAAATACAGATCTAGAACTGATTAAAATGACTCTGTCGATGAAATCGACGACAAGCATCAATGAAATCATAACTGATTTTGATCGGTTGTCAAAAGAGGATAATCTTTTTTAACTCTATTTCTTTGTCCTGATTTGAACCTCACGAATTGTGGACTTCAGTTTTATCGTAAACAATTGGTCAATAACCACCTTAAATTAATTTTCCATGTAAACTGATCTTGAAGTCGTGCATCACTGAATTAGACTTATTTTTTAAGTATCACTCACATGCTATCTTCGAACAAGTAAGTAGAGTCTTGTATAGCAGTTGGCATTAACTTTTTTACGCTATTATCGGTTGATAACTTCTAATTTGCATGCATATGGGTCTCAGCTCAGTGAGGAATCCCTGCCTTGTCTGCCATAATGGCATATATTGTGTAAACGAACATTAGATCCCATTTTCGTGGTTGAATGGATGGTAGCTTACTTAATTTTGATGACTACTATAATCAAGACTGTAAATCACATTGCTGTATTACGTAAGATGCGATAGTCAATGAACTGATAAACTCTGACAAGAATCGTTCTGTCAGCATTTAGTATTTCGCAGATTAACAATAAGATAGGATATCTTCAGGACAAAAGTGATCAACTTACCTAAATTGCTTCCTAAAATATCTGAAGGACTTTTGGCACGATTTTAAACTCTCCGGCGAGAAACACTACTTTTCCAATGCCAGCTGCTTTCTCGCACAAGTTCCAAGAGGCATAATTATATTCACATCATCAAGTATATTTGTCAATATCGGAAGACTTTAATCATGCAACCCCTAGTCACGTTAGATTGTTCAGCCATAGAACAAGACGCAAAATTTTCGTTTGTTGATTCGTCTTACGGTTAACAAGCCACACACAAAAAAATGGTTTAAGAGTCATCTTTGATCTTTCCGCAGCATGGAAAGTGTACTCTTTGTCGTTTGATAGATAAATTACCATTTACTTGATTAGAATCTGGGAAGTTTACCATAACAGTGACCCGATCTTTACATCAATTTTCCGGTCAAGAGGGAACCTTATAAAAAAAAAATGACATGGCTTCATAACTGATCAACTTTATCTTCTGGGTTGCACAGTACTGACAAGACGAAGCTGTGAATTTCTTAATCAGGCATTGACGACAAAGGAATGAATAGATAGATAAGAAGGACTTTTTGAACACAGCTGAAACTTTCCACTTTTTCCCACTAGGAGTAATTTTAACTTAACCTTTCTTCTTATGATAAATTTTAATGTTTTAATTTTAGGGACATAAGGACTTACCAAAGTTTTAGTTATTAAAAACCAGAAACGTACTAAATGAAGGCTCCGGGTCACGGAACAACTTTCGAAATTATTTTGTCCACTCTGCCTTTTACTATGCCGGCGTGGAATATTCACTTCACCATCGAACTCAGGCTTAAGATATGTGGACGTTTCAAATTTCTTCCTTTTTTTTTTTAACCGCTGGTATGAAACATTTAACTTTTTTTTAATTAAACGAAGTGTGGGCATGGCAACAAAACACCTTAAGTATTGATATTGTTTTCAACAGTTTTTGGGAAAGAGATATCGGAGAGCTGAAAGCTGAATGGGTAGTGCATTCTCTCCTGTTGAGTGAAATCTGCGTGGAAAAAAAAAATAGAAAAGATACAGCCAAGTAGACTCGGTTAAGTAGCCCTTCAGTGAAAAAAATGATTCCCTACGGATATGCTGCTTGCAAGTAATAAAAATGCAAGCAAAAGCTGTTTGTTTTCAAATTTAGTTTAGTTAAACCATTACTTTTCAAAATGAGCACTTTATGCTAAAAGCGAAATTGGCCCAATTTTGAGATGGTAAAAAAAAAATCCCTTCTTTAAAAGCAGAAAAGATATCCGGTTGTAAAGGCGCCAATGTCACTTAACCTCAGTGGGCGGTACGTTTTAAGCAAACAGGGAATATACCATGTTTTAAGTTCTAAAGCCAGAGGAAATTCTGTTTTTTTCTTGATATTAATTTCATCAAAGGGCGTCTTAAATGAAGATCTTCAATGCAGTTTAAAGTTTCTACTTCATGATATTAGCGGTGTATTTTTGTTTCTACTTCCGGAAAGAGCTCACAGAACTAACTTTTTGTTTTTCGATCTCAGAGACTGGTCTACTTTTAGGAAAATCTAATGCGACATATACATGAAGTCAAAACTCTAAATAGCTGTCTTAAGCTTGGGAAATTTTTAATTTTTCCAAATTGTTCTCAAAACATAAATTCGTTAAACTGTTCAACTTAGAAGAACAAAACAAGACAGTATAAAATTGCACCTGTCAGTTCAAAGGTGTTTCTGACGAAAAAAAGACAAAAAAGGAGTCTCACAGGTTAACAATGGGGAAAACACTGCCTCGCTACAATTGATTCAGGAATTTTGTTTTACAAGTTGCTTTTAATGCTACTGAATAATGGTGAATAATACAAGCATATGTACAGTCAAACTATGCCAACCTTTACAAAGCTAATTTTAATTATTAGACATTTCAACTTATTTCTACTTTTAAATAGTGATATTTTCCAGTCAAGCTATTAGACAGACAGACTGTGTGACTGCTTTTAAGGCAATCACTGCAGAGATGAAAGAAACAAACAAGGAGTAACAAGAGTCAACTACACATTTTAACTGGGTGAGCTGTGCACAAGAGAAACTGTTGGAGAAACCACAGGATCCATAACTGTACATCTATCTTTGAATGAGTGACAGCTGAATGAATTTATTATCAAAAGCTATACAAGGAGTAAAACCTGACCATAAAATAGTTCCTAACCAACACAGAAAAAAATAATGTATTAGTTTACTTGCTGTTTTTTCATTAAAAAGAAAAATCTTTTTACGTCACTGGATTGTCTTCCAAATTTGTCACAGGAAATTCTAAAGGTACTTAACAACAGTTTCCCTCTCCTGGAAAGCACCTTGTTTAGCCAATCAGCAATTCATATTAAATTCTGTGAAACAGTCTATTCTATGAGGGTGCCATGCCTAATAGGCCCCTTCACCACTCTCTGTGACAAATTCCATCTCAGCATCTCTTTTTCTTTCATGATACCAAGACATTTAATACTGTTGATGATTAAAGAAAGAGACATGAATTAGATCTTGCCTCAGTTAACACAGCTAAACACAGCCAGGCCTTGCAATAAAATTTCTTTCTACAATTGGCTTCCTGCATAGGTATATTGGTGAAGACAAGTTCATAAATTTACATATTTCAGGAAGATAAGTATCAAAACCGACCAATTAAAATGTGGATTTAGTTTGATATAATTATATAGTGCACAAAATAATCCTTTAACCCTTGACTAAACTGCTCTTACCTGTTAAAAACAGCAAATCCTAATTTTAGATTATGGAATATACCTATTTCTATTTTTTTGTCAATTAAAAAAAAAAAAAAAAAAAGGTCTTTTTGTAGGATTACACAATTACTGGTGAACCAGTAGTTTCCATTGTGGTCCTTGCTAATAAATGAAACAAATGGTCTAAATTGAACATAACAACATTAAGAACATCATTAAGAACCCCAACCAGCCAGAGGCAAACCAGTTGGCTATTTACATGCGTGGCCAAGGATCTGAACTCGGGGCTACCGTGAAACAAATCTAGTGGTCAGGGTGGGACTCGAACCCAGGAGCGGCTGATTACGAGTCGACACTCTCACCACTCGGCCACAATGCCTCCTGAACCTCTGAGAAGTAATATTATTTTTTTGTATCAAGTGGTATCAGAATATACATTCAATAATAAATTTGGTAGCTAAATTTCATATTAACCCTTTTATATCCAAGACTCCTTACTGTCTACAATAAAATTCTTATGATGTTAGTGTAGAGAATTTCATATTGGATGAACTAATAAATCAATGTTTTTTCTCTTTCGCCTTATCATTATTTTGTCTTCTAGACTTTAAATTGATACTGTAATGAGAAATTTTGTCTTCGTCATTCATGGAAATTAAAGGGGTGAGAAATAATAACAACCACTTAGACTTTTAGCCTTGTTTACTTAATACTGAATGCTAGTGAATGATTGAAATCAACAATAAAAGCTCTGTTAAGCAGAATGTATATAAATTATAAAACAAACAAGAAGTTCCGATGTAACCAATCGGTTAAAAGTAGTACCAGTGACCACTGGTTTCCATGTCTGTCCATCTCTTACTCAGTTTCTTTCCGATTCAGAGTAAGGTGGTGGCAAATCTGACAAGTTATATGATGGTGGAGGGGTAACTGGAGTTTGGTTGATGGATTGACCTGAAAGAACAAGAATTGATCAGGAAATCTATTTAAGCTGTAGTTTTCTATGGCTGGGTGCAATCTTGACCCTATTTTTAATTTCTTCAAGGTATTGTGTTGCCTTTTCATCAGATAAGTTGATCAATTAGGAGCATTGGTGACTAATTATAGGCCTACACAAATCATTTCTATGAAAGGAAAGGCATAGGAAACATTGTCAGTTTTCGTTGCCGATTGTCATCTGACATGAGTGTTATTGTGCAAAGTTAACTTATATTCCCTAATTCCCTAGTTCATGGCAAAACGGTGATGTTTTGGTAGAAGACCCATACTCACAAATACAACCAATGAATCCTCAAGACATTCTAAAAGTTCTGGTGATGCCATGAAGGGTTACAACTGTCTAACAAAAAAACTTGTCAATAGCTCTTCCTACTGCAAAGGAATGTTTCAGGGAAGTATGGTCCTTTGCAAAGACATTACTTTTCTTCTATCAGTTTGTACTGCCTATATCATTTCATGCATTTTTAGAAAATGTGTCAGTCAAGGGCATGATGGAGCAAGTTTTCAGATAAGATTTAGGAAGGTTTTTTGGTTGGTAATTGTGTACTGGTATAACAAATTGAAGTCACAGGTGTATTATTAAATACTGGTTGTCACTGAAGAACAACACAAAGACTTGTAGCCATGGTAAAACATTGAAGAGGCAGATAAGAGGAAGGAGATCCACAAGTTAATTTTGGTAATCACATCACATTTGCATGTCTATACATATCACTGGCTCTTTCTGCTCAATTGACTGTGGAGGCTCTGGTGAAACAGGCCTACTCAAACTTTATTGTGAAGAATGCAAAAGGATTCAAAAGTCCTGTTTAGCAAGATTACCTGGTTGTTGACCACCAGTAGGTTCTATCTCATCAGGTGGAATTGGAGCTCCAGGATCCCCAGGTCCTGGCAAATTATTTAAATCAACTTGACATGCATCTGGACTTAACCCTGTTACCATAACAACAAGCTTTGGATCATCACACGGGGGAGACATATCAGGTGGTTCTGTGGGCGGTGGCTCTTTGAAAACTGCAATGAATATTATTTTCACTAATTGTAACAAATTCATGTGCCACTTGAACATACTTAACTACAAGACAGAGTGTTCTCACTTATGATTAGGCTCATACAGGTTAACAGATGCAAGCTTATCATAATATTATTCTAAATTCTGATGCTCTTGGCCACATCACCGCACGGGGCTTTCCTCGACATTAATCCCTGCACATAAATGCATTCATACACAAATGAAATGCTTTCAGCCCCTGAATGGTCCAGAACCTCTCATTTATTGCATTAGTAAACCCATTGACAAATGAAACATTTTAAGTTTAGAAATAGACAGCTAGTACTGGCTATTGGTTTATTGGCATAATAACCCACTAGGGATGTTAGGAGAACAATTGAAAAGTTTGTAAATCATGATCAGGAGACAAGTGATTAACAAACTTTTCTTGCATTCTCCCAACAGCCTTCATGGGCTGGGTATTACACCGGTAAACCAAAAGAAAGTGCAGTCTAAAATTTACTGAATTAAACTAGGGAAACCAACCAAAATTTCTAAAGTAAAGTGTGGTTACCATTCAGCTTGGAGGAAAGAAAGTACTCTTGATAAAGTTTCCATAATTAACTTTGACTAACTAAGCTCCTGGAGTTGTCAACCAACTTGCGAAATGGCCATGCAGTGAGCCTCCACCCTCCCCTCTCTTGACTTTTCAAATTTTCATGATTTAGGTATATCTATCAGGAGTACAATGGTGGGAGTTGGAGGGGGAAGGGTCATAGCTATCATATTCAACAATGAAGGCCATTAATTCAGTCCTCTACCATATCCACTATTCCCAATAACAATGTAGAACTTGAAAGGATCGAGATAAACTGAGTCTTGTAAATATGACTTATTCCTTGTTTGAATGGTATGATATCACAATTTCATATCATTTTCCCACAGTTAATAAACTGAGTACCAATTACACTTGATCAATTTAAATTAAACCTTTAGGAGCGACCCTTAATGACCCCAAATAAAAATTCCAAGCTTTAATCAACTTGTTACTTTGCAATTAAAGAGTAAGTAAAAAATGTCTACAATTTGTAAAGAGGCTTACTTCGCTCTTGCTTCTTCCTATCAAACGTGGTGAGGATAATGTCCAACAAGTATTCTTGTCCCCTGCACTTCTTTTGTATAGCAATACACAACTGGTCAAAAGCTGTGGGGCCTTTATCGCCCAATATGTCCAAGAATTTTGCTCGTTTTTTCCTTGGAGTTCTCTCTGCTTCAATTTCATCGCAGTCCATTCGATCAAATACTTGCTGGGATCTCAGATAGTCCAAAGTTTTCTCATATTGCAATTTGTCAACGAGCAGTTCCCTTAGTTCTATCAAAACTTCATTTTTTAAGGACCAATACACTTCAGATTCTAAAGCGGAAGTCAAAACGTTAACGGCCATATTGGAATGTTGGGGGACACTCGGGTATCAACAGAGGAAGTTGGAGCTATCTTTAGTAAAGGAATACATGACGTACTTTAATTTTTCCGAAGAAATCCGCAGCTTTTCTCACCGAAGACTCATAATTAAAGATGGCGGAATGTACGAAATTTTCGTAACTGTGAGGTTTTCGTTTATTTTCTGGGAACTTTGAAAAATGGGCTTGCCAAATCTAACCGCAGAGGAGGAGTACCTTCTTAGAAAGTTCGCTTTGTTGAAGAAAAGGGTATGACATCTTCATCCAGTCACATACATCGATAAAGATTGTAAATGATTTGAAAGGGTCTCAGTCTGATCTGAAGGTGATTCATTTTATTACAGAAAAAGGCATTGCAAAAGTCCAAAGAAAAAGTCGAAAATCCCAGTAGTATCAAGCCGGGTACGAAGCGTGGTAAGAGATTCAACATAAAGCTTTGATACTGTGTGTGATCAGAAAGTTAATAAAAGACTTGGGTCTGAGTTTTCGAGACATGTACAACCCCGTCCATAGAGGGCCGGGTCTGTGGCTCGTTCCTCGAAAATCCCGGTAACTTTACGGGCCCGAAGTCATATTCTTAAAGCAAAATTTTAACAATCAAGAGGTAGGTTCTGGCACCCAAATCAGTCCATTTTGTTTCTGTAGCTGATAGTTTTATTGTATTATTTTCAAAACTTTCTAAATCCCATCTTGAATGAAAACAGAACAGCTTCATGGGTCCGTTAAATAACCGGAACTTTCGAGAAACGGAGCTCTGAGTAACAGCCCCCAGGTATCTATGGTCTCATTATGTAAGGTCCAATAGTTTTCCACACCCCTAGCCTTTTTTTCGATTGTAGCAGCCTATGGCAGAAGCAGTGAGGCCTATTTGTTGTCCTGTTACACAATAATCATTATTCTTTCAATTCATGTCTCTCCTGGTGCAAAATGAAACTTCTATTTATCTATTGTAAGTGTGTGGGGGTAAATGTTTATCCCCCAAGTCGTCAATTATAATAGTTTTGGAAATTTTGTATCCTAGATGCTCCAGCAGAAATTAGCCATGCTCCACAGGATGCAAAAGAGATTGCCAAGAAACTGATTGCCTCAGGGGTATGTTAAAATTGGTTTATTTCTGTTTCACCTCCGAGTGAAGGGGTAAGAGGGGGGCATGGGCTGTGTTAGCCATAACTGTTCTTCAATTAGATGTGCATGAGTAACATAAGAAAGAAAAAACTTATATTGGGTATTGTGACACATAAACTTTGAACCTTGTTACCAAGCAAAGACTAGCATTATGTTGTTAAAATGTCATGATCAACACAATTGATTTGCCTGGCTCATACATCATGGGACAAATGATTAAACATTCAGTTAACTGTAGAAGCATAATGAACAACTATATTTTCTGTAACAACTTTTTTACTCTACTCTTCTTTGTGGAAAATAATTAACAATTATACTGATTGGTGATTCCTCAGGGCCCAGCCATTTCCTCAACCACTCTATGAATTCTAGGTTTGTTTCCACTTGCGATAAGTCTGATAGTTTTTAGAGCATTGTTCACAAGTTGCTGGTAATCAGAATTCTCTTTCTAATTTAGGAGGTGAAGATTAAAAAAGATCCTGTCCATAGGGAGTTCAAAAGGGCCAAAGGAGGAGAAAGAAGACAGAAGGTAGAACAAAGCATAGAGCTAGTACATTTTACAAACTAGGGCTCAGTTGTGCAAAGGCCCATTAGCACTATTCCAAGGTTAAATTTTAATCTGGGTCTTTTTATTACTTTGTTAAAGAGCCTTTTGGAGGTAATTTTCTCCATGAACCTATTTAGAGCATCCAGATTGTAGACAAAAAGAATTACACTGAATTTTTTGATAAAGTTTTCAGAAATGAAATCAGATTTGACACTAACCCCAGGTTATCTTAACCCAGCTTTGAACAGCCCGGCCCAGATCACTACAGTTACCATCACGCCAAATAGATGCTTTGGTGTTGAATGGCACACTCATGTGCAAGTCTACGTATTAGTTAAGTTAACAATGTACAAGATTGCCACAAGCCATTAGTATAAACTTGTGTTAACTTGTTTTGATAATTCTTCATTTTGTTTCTTTGATCAATGTAGGATTTCTTACAGCAACCAACATTCAACAGGAATGAGCAGCAGGTAAATATTGCTAAACAGCACTTAAAACACTTATAATAAAAATTTAATGTATTAATTTTTTGTAACTTATATGTGTTCTAAATTTGCTTCCTTGCTCTCTTTTTAAATGTTGTTAGTTAACTTTTATCCATGTTAGGGGCTAAATATCAGACAACCTTGATGAAAAGGTCAACAGATATTGCATGCTCTTTAAACTGGTCATCTCTCAAGGGTTAACATTTAAAAGTGGGTGAACTGTTTTGGTTATGAGTACTATTGATTTTTTTTGCAGCCAAGCTATCTTTGGCACAAATGTAAATCACTACAATAATTTTTATTTTTGGTGACTGGATAGCAAGCTGGTTTGGTAAAATGAATTTAGAACTTAATTTTTCACTTTTCCCATGTAACAGTTGTTAATTGCATACAATACATGATCTGTGCTCTGGTTTACTTCAGGCACGTGCTATAGCGATGAAGAGTTTATATGAAAGGTAAGAATTGCCCCATCCTTTTGTCCTTTGAAACTTTCTATGCAGGTTTTTTCTGTACAATCTTTATTGTAGACTGCCTTTTCAGAACCATGTATGGTGATGGTTTCCCAGCTTTAAGTACTGTAACAATGTTTTATTTAATATATTTGTGACTGCATACATGTATTTGTGTATTTTCTCTTTTGGTCTACAGTAGCTTTGTACCCTCTTCTACCTCACAGAACAGGCGCTTCTCAGGAGGTATTTGTTTGACTAGCTGTTAACTCTTGTTTATGGATGTTTGTTTTAATATTTTATCTTTATGCCTGCCTTCGTTGTCGATCTGTTTGTCTGTAGGTTAGTTGGTCTGTCGTTCTGCGTGCCATCTGACAGCACTATACCACATGTACATGTATGCTCAAGTGGCTATTTGCCTGTTTGTCTTCAAGTCTAGTTGTGTTCTGTTAGTAAATTTGATGAACAATCTTTTGAAAATTGGTGATCAGCTTTAGAAGTATCTTACAGCTTGTTCAGTCTAAACCTATTACAACTTTTCTTTATTCAAAAGTCTTGTTTAGCAATAGGATACTATTCGCTACATGTATCATATACATGTAATATTGCAATCAATTTTCTTGTATCATTTTCAATTCAGGGCAAGGGTCAGATAGAAGAAGTTGGTCTGATGATCAATCAAGAAAGGTAAAAACAAGTTGATGGCTTACAATATCATGTCCCTTAATGTTTGCTTTTATTTTTTGCATCATAATTGGTCAGTTTTCCTTTAAAGATTTAAAAGTTTGAAACTAAGATTCATGATTGTCTAGAATTGTTTTGTGACAATGTGTAATAAAATTTGAGATCTCAAAGTGCATCCATATATTATGTATATTACAATGCTGTCCTAACCACCAGGTGCTGGAATGCTTAATCAACAGTTTCTGAGGCACCCAAGAGTATACTTTTTGGACATTTGTGTAGTGGCTGCTCATAAATTACACTCAATAGTTGTAGTAACACAAGTTAAGTAATGGTGATAGGTGGCTGACTAATATAACAGAAGTAGACAAATACTTTAACACAGGAAAGCCAAAGAAGGTGGCTTTTTATACAACTGTTTTATCATTTCGAGATAAAAATTAGTGATAAAAAGCACGACATTTCAACCTCTCAGAGGTCATTTTCAAGTGAGTAAAAGTTTTCTAAATTGGCATAAAAATGTAGAAAAAGTTGAAATGGGTAAAAATGTGACGAATGTTAAAATGTGATAAAATATATGAGAAAGTGCTAAAAATATTTATGAGGTAAAAACAATAGGATAGTAATAACAAGAAGTACTCTAAACAAATAATTTGGGGCAAGTTGAATTGCACTGTTTGTTTAGTGTTGGTGTGAGTTCTTTCAATTGATAAAAAAAAATTCAAAATAAGACAGTCAAATTTGTTCTGACACTTTCTTAAGATTCTAAAACTTTGTGCAATGTTTTATCATTATTTTGCTTTCACAGTCACATTTTCCTTGTTAACTGTTTGTGTTGCATCCTACAGGGTAACACTATCTTTGTCAAAGGATATGGATTAACAGAAAAAATCCTCCAGGAAGACTTCACTAAATTTGGTGAGGTTACATGTAACTCTTTCACCCCTAATATAGTGACTAGCAGCTAATTTCTCCTTACATATCACCCCTGAATCACACACCAAGGTCAGGAGAATAATAGAAATGATCACCAACGTAAGAAGCTGTTGACTGTTAAACAAATTCTCCTTGTTAACACCTGCTGGAATGTATAGAGAACAGTATAGAGAATATGTATATTGATGTAAGTTGTTAAGGATTAACCCTCTTATGTTATGTTAGACTTCACTGACTCCCCCTCTCCTAGCTTGGTTCAATGAAAATGAGGAAAAAATGTTGATTTTTAATGTTCTGTGCTTGATGAGCTAAGCTGATGAGAACTAAGAGGGACCACTGATATTGTAAGGTCAAGGTGGTAAATGAGGTTCTTATCCACTATGTATGGGTCATGTCATTTCAATTTCTATTTTGTGCGACCAGCTATTTATTCTTAGACTAGTAGGTGTGGGACAATAACAGGAGAGCAGCCTTAACAGTGGTTACAAACAACACCAGTACCACTGCTTTCAGTGACATTGTTATGTTACACATGCCATATTTCTGCCTTCCATCAGACAAACTTGCAGATCCTTGTAACTCACATTTTTCCAACCATTCTGACTCTGCATCTACCTATTTTGGACAAGGGCTCAGGTTCTGCCACACAATGTAATGATGCAAAAATTGAACACGGGACATGTTCAGTTGACTAGTTAGTCTCCGTCGTCAATAAGTAAGTCTGACTCTGGAATATACAAATGAATAAAGGCTGATAGTTTCGAAAGAAACTGTTTGGGGCTGCGTCGGTGGGAGTAACGGTGGGAGTAAATTATCTGGAATATACATGCTATTCGCTCCAACACAGAAGTGCCACATTGGATCATAACCAGGAATAAACAGCAGTCTTTGTATTTTTGTTGTAAAACTGTTTTAAAGTGATAACTATCAGTGGGTACATGACTCAATGCTCTTTTTAACCCTTCTTTCCATTTTCTTATTTCAGGTAAGGTTCAAAATGTCAACTTTGAGAGAGAAAAGAGGTAAAAATTGTGACTTATTTGTAATACCAGTCATTTTAGCTAAAACAGTCATTTTCTATTTAATTCCATTCCATGTTTTATTTACAAATTATGACAAATGTTTGTCTGTTCATTTTTCCATCTTATTTCCACACCCTCTTCATTCCAAAACACCCTTATCCTGGCTTCATTAGGGACGGATCATAATTTTTTGCCAACTCAATATTTTACAAATAATATTACAATGATATTACAATATTTTAAAGGGGACTCTAATGATTGTGATTTTAATTTTATTTTCTTATTTTATGTTGTTTTAAAGAGTTGTCTCTAAAGGTTTTTTTTCCTTTTAATCTATAGCCAAGGTTTTGTTACACTAGACTCTTGTGAAGCAGCTGAAAAAGCGATTGATGAGGTAAGCTGAGGAAAGTAAAGCACTCGTGAGCTTCACAGGTTTTTACACCGAGGATGAGCCTGGGGTCATTCTCGGTGTAAAAACCTGACAACGTTTTCTTTGTTTCATGAGGTATTGTTTTGCTGCACACTATTGTTTATAATGTTTTATTGTCTTTGTTTTATGTCACTCGTGAGCTTCAGAGGTTTTTTACACCGAGGATGAGCCGACCTTAATCCTTTCACTCACATGATCTCATCAGCAATTCCCCTTACTGTCAAACACAACGAATATATGAAATTCATATATCTGAACTGCGGTTATAGAAACGTATTTGTGCACGATCCTCGCAGTGGAGGATCGTGCACAAATATCAGGCCTGAATTTTTTTCAGGTCTGATATTCACTATTGCTTAAATAGTGGTCTTTACTGCGAGGATCGTGCACAAATAGTTTACGTTCCCCTTACTGTCTTTCTATGATGTTAGAGTGGAAAATTTGGTATAGGATCAACTAGTAATCTCCTAATTTATATTTTTCTCATCACTTGTCATGTTTATCAGGGAGAGAAATCCAATTATGTGTGTATAGAAGTGATTTTAATTTCACTGACTGATCGGAAGCCCTGCCGGTAATTTCAAACAAGGCAACAGAGCCAGAGAAACGAACGGATGTTTACTTTTGACAAAATAAACCTGTTTACTCTACTATGCTGCTCCTTCAAAGCTTTCCACAAATCAGGTAGTATTAACATGGCAAAGTCGATAGTCAAAGTCTTTCCTATTAATTTTCCTCAGATGAATGGTATGATGGTGTCTGGTGTGCATATCAAAGTAGCTCTTTCCTGGAGGCAACCCAACATGGGTGACACACAAGGACATCGAAGACCCGGTCTGGGAAGCAGAGGTTAGAATTATCGCATTTAACTTAAGTTCTTTTTAAAAAGACGTTAATTGTTTAGTGTGGCGATCCGATGAGCCCACGGTGTGATCAAGTGGCTTCTGTCGTCGACTTAGTGATTATCCCTCCAATGCGTCGTCTCTTTTTCAGTGACCTTTTTCCAGTTCTAGTTTGTGTTACTTGAGTATCAGCGGTGTCATTTTTCTCACAGAATTAATTTTTGTAAAGGAAAGTAAAAGCTGGGTAAAGGAAAAACTCAAAACTTTCGAATAGAAAGCTTTTTTAACTGCGTGATCCTCTTAATTTACGATTTTATTCCGAGTTGTATCAAAAGATTTGCTTGCTTGTGTAGTTGTTTTGAACTCCTGTGAAACAGCCTGGCCCTGTTGGCCTTCCAGCAGGATGGTGGGCCGCGTCATCGTTCGCGCAAGCGTAGATAGTTAATCGTTTTGTTTGTCATTCGTTTGACCATAGTTAGTAGAGGGGACCCAGTCCCCTCTACTAACTATGGTTTGACTGAACCATTGTGAATTCGTTGCTCAGTTAGGCCATAAACCAGGTTTATGTGCCTTAAGCGATTGGCACAAGACTTAATGCTCAGAAATGTTTCGAAAGTGTCCTATGTGAATTTAGAACAATAAAGTTAGTAATGGCGATGATTCCTTTCCATGTTTTGCAGATTCAAGAGGACATAGTTCAGGTTTGCAGTCGCGGGAAGCCAGGGAAATTGTTTCATACGACGATCTATAGCGTTAAATTAAATCTGTAGTTATATTTGATAAAAGCAATAGATTTTCTACTTATTTCTTCATTGGCTATTCATAAAGAACCTTTAAAATATTAGTTCACCGAAAAGCAAAAACTTCAAAGATTTGATAGAGACAGCCTAAGCCCTCTTTCCTTATCATCGTCTTGTACGCCCCCAGTGGTTCGAAACAGTTCTCAAGCGACGAGGCCTTTTTCACTATCAAGCTCTTAGCAGAGCATCGGAACTGCTCTAGGGTACTCAGTCTTTTTCCTCGTCCCCAGATCGTGACAGAGCAAATACAACTCTCTTAATTGGTTCATTAGTTCACGCACCAAATAGCGAATTAGAATACGACATGTAAATTATATATTTAATAAAAGATTTAACAGAAGAGTAACTGAAATTAGTGTGGATGTTGATTTTATCACGAAACCTTTGTTAAAATTAAGAGTCCCGTAACTGCCTTTATCTTTAACATTGAGTGGCCTCCCTGCGCGTCCTATTCTTAGACAGAAGTTTACCCAATCAGTGTATTTGAAAGGTTTTGGGGAAATTCCGTAACTTTGGGTGAATGAAATTTTTGAGAACGTTTCCCGTGGTGTTTCTGGGTTATTATAGGTGTTTAGAAAATCCATATATGCTTTCTATGTTCTCTTAAAGTTCCAGACAACCGTCACTCGGACAATCATGTCACAAAGAAAAGGACAATGACTCAATTGCAAAATAAATCGATTTGTTGTAGACAAACCTTTAATAAAAAGAAGATGCTAAAGAGATCGACATTGTGGACTTAAAACGGACCAAATAGTAACACTTTTAAAAACATTCTTATAATACAACGTTAAGACACCTCCACAGTGAACTCAGTATTTACAGCTTTGATCAGGTGTGGCTGTCAACATATGAAAGCATATCCTCCCTCCCAAGCGTTGTTACACTTCGTTCTTTGTGGGAATGGGGTTTACTATTATACTTTCAATACACTCGAACACGGTGTGAATATCTTGATCAGCATTGATGTGCTGCACAGACTCCTCATAATACTCCGCAATCTCCTCGACGTACGCCTGGTACTGAGCTATGCGTGAGTTGACCGCTGACTCTACGTCTTTCGGGCTCTGATAGGAGGTAAGAACACAATTTACTCCATGGCTGGCGTCAAAGGTGGGAAAGATAAAGAAAATCATTTGTTCTGATTCGCTTTCCGAGAGACCTTGCGATGGCTTATCTTGTTCGCAAAGTATTTTCATGCTTTGTCCACGTAGTCAACATGGCTGTAAATTTACTAAGATTTCCTTCCCCAGGACTGGAAACCTGGTCCATGACCACCAATATACGGCCAATATCGAGTCACACTTGGCACATGAATAATTAAACATACATACATGTACCGGGGGTGGATCCAGGAAGTTTATGTGTGTGTGTGCGGGCGTGTACGAGTGTGCGCGCGTGTGTGTATGAGTGTGCTGGGGGAGAGGGGAAAGGAGAGTGACCTTCTCCCTGGATTTGCCACTGTAAAATTTGAAGCACCGGTTAGTTTTCATGTCATCATCAGTACAGTGATAACATACTGAACGCTTACCGTGTGCAACCTCTGTTTTACTTCGTTTGTGCGAGGTGGGTTATAAATTAGGTGATATCTGAAGAGGAAAAGGAACAACACATTAGATTTTGCAGTAATTGTTGAATCTTTCCTTACTGAGTTTGTGTCGGTGCCGAAAGCTACATCGTGCCTCCTTGTTTTGCGACAAGAAATGAACTTAATATTTCAAATTTCAATGGCTCCTCGGTTTCTGGGAAATTAACAGAGCTGAATGTTCTTCCTTAATTATCTTCCTTTGACCTACTAAGCTACA